TTTCCTGGCAAGTGAGGAGTTTCATGAGCAAAAACGGATGGTTTAAATCTGCAGAGGCTTTGGGCACCATTTCACCTGTTAAGGAACCCACCTTTTCAGAATGAGATCAAAAAGTCTGAGCGAATCCACTTCTGCACAGGGAAATACACATCGATTTTCTTCACCCATCAATTCATAGGTGTGTATTTCTTTGTGCATATATATTTATGGTACAGTCTTCAGTGTTTTCAGGTAAATTTTATAATATCAATTTGTAACGCTAATCATGTTATCATTTACCTAAGCCAAAAAGAGAATTTAACACCATTCTGCCCAACAGGTTGTTTCTTAAAATGTCCAATTTGGGTATAAATCAGAAGATTCGTTTGTGGATAAAGGATTTTCTGACAGATAAGCCACAGTCAGTAAGGATGGGATCTCACCATTCTTCTACTCTGATACTAAGCACAGGAGCCCCCCAGGGTGGTGTGCTAAGCCTCTTCCTTTATTCTTTGTACACATATGACTGCACCCCATTGTATAACAGAAACACAATTATTAAATTTGTGGATGACATGACAGTGGTGGGGCTCATTAATAAGAACAATGAGTCTGCTTATAGAAAGGAAGTACAAGGGCTGACACTGTGGTGTAAAGTACACAACAGTGTGTACTGTAACATCTTACACAACACCAAAAAAACTAAATAACTTATAATTGATTTCAGGAGGAAGAGAGATGTACATTTACCATTGTACATAAATGGTGAGGAGGTGGAGAGGATTGGTAGTTTTAAATTTCTGGGCACTTATATCTCGGAGGAGCTCTCATGGACTATGAATGCTAACATGCTTGTAAAGAAAGCACAGAAGAGGCTGTACTTCCTGAGAATGCTCAGGAAGATAAATCTCTCTCAATATCTACTTCTGTCCTACTACCGTCCTACTGTCCTACTATACCACCATTGAGAGTGCATTCTTGTATGGCATGGAAGTAGCTCTGTAGCTCTCGCTGTTTGAGGAAATTGTGCAACATTCTCAGAGACTCTTCTCATCCTGCTTACAATCTTTATGAACTGTTGCCTTCTGGTAGAAGATCAGAACAATTAAAACTTGACCACACGTTTTCTGAATAGTTTTTATCCCAGAGTTATAATTGCACTTAACAATGAACTTAAATACCACCATCAGTGAGCTGTTCAACAGTATTACTTGGTCTATTGTGTGGATGCTTTGTGTGTTTTTAGGAGGCGGGGAATTTTGGTGGGTGGGGAGGTGTTTGGGGATTGTTGTGTGTGTGCATGTTGAGTCTGGTCTCTGGGTTACATGAATTTCATTGTATGTATACTGTGTATATACGTACAATGACAATAAAGAATTCAATTTCATGATTGGATATATGAATGGATATTTGTACTTGGATCTTGCTAGTGCTCTTTTTGCCAAATGAATTGTAATTAATGTTAGAGGTTAAACTATCATTTTCATACGTTTGCTTTTTCATAGTAATATATGCAGGTGTTTTTTCTTTTTGCTGTTTTCACAGGTTCTGCAGCCATTTTTTAAAACCACAATGAAACTAATTCATTAATATGAATCTTGTAGACAGAGGATCCCAAGAAGAGCACTCTGGATTCAAGAGGGGCTTGAATCAAAGCCCCACCAGTTAGAGATTTTTGACCTCCTGAAGAGTCCAAGTTCATAAGTGTTGAAAAACCCCCACAGTCTGTCTATTGTGGGGGGAAAACACAGATTGCCAATCACACCTGATTATGCATGAGGGAATCTACACCACAAAAAATACTCAAAATGCTTGGAATGTGGCCAACACTTTACTCAGAACAACTTCCTCATGGCAGCACCCACACTGGAGAGACATTCTACCAGTGCTCCCAATGTGGCAAAAAGTTTAGCACACGCACCAATCTGGTCAGACATAAGAAGACACACACTAGGGAAAAACCCTTTGATTGTCCTGATTGTGGGAAAAGTTTCACTCAGAATTCTGACCTAGTGATACACCAGAGGACACACACAGGAGAGAAACCATATGTGTGTCTAGAGTGTGGGAAAAGTTTCAATAATAATTCTAACCTTGCGAAACACCAGAGGACTCACACAGGAGAGAAACCATATGAGTGTCTATACTGTGGAAAAAGTTTCAGTCGGAATTCTTACCTGGTGATACACCAGAGGACTCACACTGGTGAGAAACCGTATGACTGTTCGGATTGTGAGAAAAGTTTCAATAATAATTCTAACCTTGTGAAACACCAGAGGAGTCACACACGAGAGAAACCATATGAGTGTCCAGATTGTGGGAAAAGTTTTATTAATAATTCCAGCCTTGTGCAACACCAGAGGACTCACACAGGAGAGAAACCATATGAGTGTCCGGATTGTGGGAAATGTTTCAGTAAGAATTCCAATCTAGTCATACACCAGAGGACTCACACGGGTGAAAAACCATATGAGTGCCTGGATTGTGGGAAAAGTTTCAGTCAGAACTCTTACCTCGTGATACACCAGAGGACTCACACAGGAGAGAAACCATATGAATGTCCAGAGTGTGGGAAAGCTTTTAGTTGGAATTCTGACTTGGTGAGACACCAGAGGACTCACACAGGAGAGAAACCCTATGAGTGTCCGGTTTGTGGGAAAAGTTTCAGTTGGAATTTTGACCTGGTGAGACATCAGAGAATTCACACAGGAGAAAAACCATATGAATGTCCAGTTTGTGGGAAAAGTTTCAATCATAATTGTAACCTTGTGCAACACCAAAGTACCCACACAGGAGAGAAACCATATGGGTGTTCAGATTGTGGGAAAGCTTTCAGTTGGAATTCTGACCTGGTGAAACACCAGAGGACTCACACAGGAGAGAAACCATATGTGTGCCCAGATTGTGGGAAAAGCTTTAGTCATAATTCCTACTTGGTTATACACCAGAGAACTCACACTGGGGAGAAACCGTATGAGTGTCCAGATTGTGGGAAAAGTTTCAGTAATAATTCTAACCTTATCAAACACCAGAGGACTCACACAGGAGAGAAACCATATGAGTGTCTATACTGTGGGAAAAGTTTCAGTCAGAACTCTTGCCTGGTGATACACCAGAGGACTCACACGGGTGAGAAGCCATATGAGTGTCCGGATTGTGGGAAACATTTCCAGCAGAATTCCAATCTGGTTATACACCAGAGAATTCACACAGGACAGAAACCGTATGAGTGTCCAGACTGTGGGAAAAGTTTTTGTCGAAACTCCAACCTGGTGATACACCAGAGGACTCACACAGGAGAGAAACCATATGAATGTCCAGATTGTTGGAAAAGTTTCAGTCGTAATTCTGCCCTAGTGACGCACATGAAGACTCACAGGAGACAAAACCTATGAGTGCCCAATTGTGGGAAAGCTTTCAGTTGGAATTCTGACCTGGTGAGACATCAGAGGATTCACATAGGATGAGTGCTTGGATTGTGGGAAAAGTTTCGGTTGGAATGTCCATCTGGTGGAATCATAGAGAACTGACATAGAAGAGGAGCCCTTTGAATGTCCCAATTATTAGCTTTCACAAGTACTGTAGGTCTAATCTAATAATTCAAGTCAGTTTACACACAGATCAGAAGCCATTCAGATGCCCAAACTGGTCAGTGTTTCAGTCACAACTCTTTACTATTGTTAAAGACAAGAGGACTCGTACAGGAGAAAAGCCATCAGCTTTCTGATTGTAAGGAAAGCTTGATGGGGTCAAAGAAAATTTCAATAATTCACAGGGATATACATTGCTTGTTTTCAGCTTGCTGGATTAATTTCTGCCAAAAGACCAAAAGAAATGCTCAGACATGATTTGCTTGCAAAAATCAATAAATCAGTAAATGAGAATTAGGATTTCAACAAGAGTTTTCTGAAGGCATAGTAAGAAACTATATGTGTTATAATAATATTCCTAAGGCATCAAAACCATTCTTATTATATCCAATTTGATATATTACAAAAAATAGGAGTCCAGGGGGGCAGTGGCTAGAATGTAGTATTGCAAAGGCAGTAACCATTCCAATATACTGGTAGTCCTTCACTTACAACCATTCACACGGGGGAGAAACTATTCAAATGCCCAGATTGTGGACAGTGTTTCATACAACATTCCTCCTTTATCACACATAAGAAATTCCATGAGAAAAAATTTGATGTATGCAGAGGATTCTTGAATTTTATTTCTCGTTTCTGATTGCAAGCTCAGCTGACAAATTAACAACTTTAATGTCTTGCCTCATTCTTTTTAATCAAACATGTCTTACTTAATATTGAACATGAGGAAGGGGATCTGAGTTGGCAAGTCCAAGCTCTTTCTGAGATTCCTTGCTTCTCGTGCAAGTGGATATGTACGCATATGTGCATGCTTGCCTGCCACTTGTGGAGCTTGGTGATTACCTGTATTATGTACACCAAAGATTCAACTTTAAACACAATAGAGGAATGGTTGGTGATGGTGATGGAATTTTCAGAGACAACTATATTGATTTCCTCAGTTGGAGAGAAGACATTCTCTACATTAATTACTGATTGGAAGTTTGTTAGAGATGTGCGTGAAACAGAACAAAAAAATGAAGTTATCATTTATAGTTGTGATTATAAAAAACAAACCAGTTAATATAAAAGAGAATTTTTGGAACCATAAAGAAGTAATTTTGTATTTCTAAATGTAATTATTGTAAAGGATATTGGAAGTAACCTCTCTCTTATTTCTATCCGTTTCTTTTTACACTTTTAATTTCTTTTTTCTTCTATTGGGTGTATTGTTCCGTGTTAGTGTTTAAATCTTCTGTTTCAAATTATTAATATAAATTATATTGAAAAATCCAACATAAGAGTCAAAGACTCTGAATGGAAACCACAAGTTCCAGTCTTAGGTTAAACAGGAAGGTGGCTTGCCAGGTGCTATGAAATCCCAATTGAAGATGTCAATTGAAGAAGCCGAAAAAATGCCTATGCAGATTGGTTGGCTGGCAGGGGGGGTTTATAAGAAAAGAGCCTCTTTCTTGGCTCAGGATGCCAACCAGGAACTGCTTTATATGCCGTCTTCAGTTCTGAATTAAAAGAAAATCAAATTTATTCATTTTAATATACTAAATGTATATGCCTCCTATCTGATTATTACAATGTCATGAATAGTAGTATAAAATTATAAGGTTAAAAAGATCAAAACACTGGGTTTTTAATTGGGGTTATTTTATTCCAGATTCCTCCATGCAGCAGAGCTCGGAGCCAGTAGTTGAAATGGACACTATTACCATCCATACGTTATTAGATCTGCATTGAAAAAAGCAGTTTAGGGTGTTCCTCTATAAAGGTCAGCCTGGTGATTATCGGTCCATGTGCTTTGGTGGGATATTCTATTTTTGCCTTTTGATTTCACTTAATGTACATTTCCGCTTGACATTCCTTCCTGGACATACTAAGTTGCCATGCAGAGTCATTCCTCCCTTAGTTCTTTCCCTCAATATTTATCAGTTTCTTATTTCTGGATATTACTTGCTCTCATGTCTCATCCTTTTGGATATGAATGGTGTCATTTCATTAACTTAAACATCAAGACTGCAGTCATGAATTTTTGGTTAGGCGATAGAGATACATAAGCCCTACTCGGCACCACGAGTTTCTTGATCTCATTGCGTTGTTGAACATCTCCCCATATTTGTACGGTTAAAATACATCTGTTCAATTCAGAATACACTGCATTCTATGTCCCAAAGGTGCTTTTTCAGGAGGCAACTAGACTTTCTTGCTTTTTTCTTTTGAAGACATTTCGCTTCTCATCCAAGAAGCTTCTTCAGTTCTGACAGGATAGTGGGGAATGGAAGGATTTATATTCCTTGCAGGCAGGTGGTCATTTGTATCCTTTTTTATAAATATAGTATAAATAAAACTCCTTCCATTCCACACCATCCTGTCAGAGCTGAAGAAGTGTCTTGGATGAGAAACAAACAAACAAAGATCTGCCAACATCTAAAAGCAAGTAAAGTAATAACTTGTGGTCAGCACGGATTTGTAAAAAACAGATCATGCCAAACCAATCTTATTTCATTCTTCAACATAGTGACTAAATTAGTTGACCAGTGAAATACTGTGGACATAATATACTTAGATTTCTGCAAGACATTCAATAAAGTAGACCACAACCTACTTTTTGGTAAGCTAGAAAAAAGTGGGATAGATAGCACCACCACCAGATGGATTCGCAACTGGCTGACAAACTGTACTCAACGAGTAGTCCTTAATGGGTCTAAGTCTACATGGAGGGAAGTAAGCAGTGGGATGCCACAAGGTTCCGTCTTAGGTCCAGTGCTCTTCAATATCTTCATTAACGACTTAGATGAGGGAATAGAAGGAGAATTTACCATATTTGTTGATGATACTAAGCTGGCAGGAATAGCTAACATCCAATAAGATAGGCTCAAGATCCAGATGGATCTTGACAGACTAGAACACTGGGCCATATTTAACAAAATGAAATTTAATGTAGAGAACAGTAAAGTCCTACACTTAGAGAAGAAAAAACTAAAAGTACACATATAGACTGGGTAAAACCAGGCTCAATAGCAGTAACTGTGAGAGGGATCTTGGAGTCTTAGTGGACAATCCGCTAAATATGAGCCAGCAGTGTGCAGCAGCAGCCAAAAAAGCTAATGCAATCCTAAGTTGCATTAACAGAGGGATACAATCGAGAACAAGTGAGGTACTAATACCACTCTATAAAACCTTAGTAAGACGACACTTACTGCATCCAGTTTTGGTCACCACACTATAAAAAAGATGTTGAGACTGTAGAAAGAGCAACCAGGATGATTAGGGGACTGGAGACTAAAACATAAGAAAGGTTACAGGAACTGGGCTTGGCTAGTCTAGTGAAGAGAAAAACCAGGGGAGACATGATAGCAGTCTTCCAATATTTGAGGGACTGCCACAGACAGGAAGGGGTCAAACTATTTTCTAAAGCACCTAAAGGCCAGACAAGGAATAATGGATGGAAACTGAACAAGGAGAGATTCAAACTAGAAATAAGGAGAAACTTTCTGACAGAACAATCAACCAATGGAACAGCTGGCCCTCGGAAGTTGTAGAAGCACCATCACCAGGGGTGGGATTCTACCAGTTCACCCCTATTCACTGGAACCTGTTGTTAACATTCCAAGCAGTTTGGAGAATCAGTTGTTAGAAGAAATCACTGGCCTAATCCTGTAAGGAAGGCAGGAAGGAAACATTCTGGTGTTGCTTACGAGAAACTGCCTTTCTGTTAACCTTTATTATATTCTTGGCAGGACTAGACTTCCTGTCTCAGGAACTTCTCTGGAGTTTTTTTCCCCCTTCCTTTGCTTATACTTTGCTTGTGTGGAGTGACCATTCAAAGTTACAATGGCACTGAAAAAAGTGACTTATTACCATTTTTCACACAACTGTTCCAGCATCCTCACCATCATGAGGCCAGGCGAGGAGATGCGTGCCTCGATGTGAGTGATATTGAGTTGGCCACGCCCAGCCAATAACATGACCACCAAGCCATGCCCACTCAGTCACATGACCACCAAGCCACACCCACCAATTAAGCCACGCCCACAGAACCGGTTGTTAAAAAATTTGAATCCCACCCGTGACCATCACTTGAGACTTTCAAGAAGAGATTGGACTCCCATCAGTCAGAAATGGTGTAGGGTCTCCTGCTTGCGCAGTGAGTTAGACATGATTACCTGCAAGGTCCCTTCCAACTCTTATCATCTGTTATCTGAGAAGTGAAATGTCTTCAAAAGAAAGAACAAGAAAGTCCAGTTGTTGCTATTATTATTTGTGAAGTTGTATCCAACCCACTGCAACCCCATGGACAATGTTCCTCCAGGCCTTCCTGTCCTCTATCATCTTCTGGAGTCCATTTAAGCTCATGCCTACTGCTTCAGTGACTCCATCCAGCCACCTCATTCTCTGTCGTCCTCTTCTTCTATTGTCCTCAATCTAATCTTTCTCAGCATTAGGCTCTTCTCCAGTGAGTCCTTCCTTCGCATTAGGTGGCCAAAGTATTTGATTTTCATCCAATTGCCTCCTGAAAAAAGCACCTTTGGGACAACCATGACCTGGATGACTGAGAATCTCTACAGACTCTGCATTCTGTCCCCCTTTGTGATTAAAAGAAAAGTTTTTCCCCTGTAAGTCGAGAGGAAAGAGTAAAATTAAAATTGGGGAAAGTAAAAGCTGGAGATACAAGTAGGGGTGAAGAACTGCAATAGGGATTTAACATATTATTGTTAACTGATGAAGTATTTATTATCTGACCCTGACTTCACCTCCACCTCCCCCCAGTTTAAATCCTACTTTATTTATTTGTATCCTTCCTTTATTATTTCTCCTTCAGTTTAGCTCCTCCACAGTCAACCTCAAAAACTTACATTTTAAAATTGTTTATAAATGAAATTTCTATACCCCCCACCAAATGGGTGGTGGGCGATGTAGAACAATCAGATTAAAAACCATAACCATATATACAGCACATATAAAAATGTAAAAATCTATATTAAGCAATAAGTAATATAAAAACAATTATAAATAAAACAACGCAATAAAATGGATGCAAACTGACACCTCAGACATGGAACCATCTGAGCATATATCATATTGGCCTGAGGACCTAGCCATGTCTTGAGAGCCTCCCAGAAGATCAAAAGGGGTGGAACTAATCTCATTTCAGGGGAAAGGATATTCCATAGAGCAGGGCTTTGCAATCTTTGGGCCATGGGGGTCCCCAATTAGAAACATTTCTATCTAGGGCCGTTTCTAAATAGAGACCTAGTGCCCCCTACAGGCATATAACTTGGGCAGCCCCAATATAGACTTCTCAGGCCCCATTGGGTCTCTAATTGGAGGTGTTTCTAAATAGAAACACTGTACACCCCCCTCAAAAGGGTATCTAAATAGAAACACTGTACACCTCCCCAAAAGGGTATCTAAATAGAAACGCGGAGGGGCCCCCCCCTTGGTTCTCGAATTGGAGGTGTTTTTAAATAGAAATACTGCCATCGGGTCTCTAATTAGAAACGTTCTAGGCCGGGACATTTCTAATTAGAAACGGACAAATTTGGTTAGGAACGCCCCTCCCCCCTTGTCTCTACTTGGAGACCTCCCTAATTAGAGACCGTCTCTAGATGGAGGCGTCCCTATTTAGAAACCTTCTAAACGGGGACGGCCCGGTCTCTAAAGGGGAACGTTTCTAATTAGAGATGTCCCCCAAAGTTGTTCTCCGGTCGGGGTCTTCCCCGATAGGGACGTCGCTAATCGGGGATGCAGACCCCGGTCCAACCAAACTCCTCCCATCAGACCTCTGTTTAGGGCCATTTCCAATGAGAGACTCAACGGACCCCGTTCGAGCTCCTCCCACTGGGACCCCGTGTAGGATCTTCCCTAATAGGAGATGCCCCTAAATAGAAACCGTTTGGGCTACCCCGACAATATGGCCGATCCAAAGTGGCCGCCTTTCGGATACGTCCATTTATTACACGAACCGGACCCCGTGTGGGCGATTCGACCCGTCCCCACCAATCCGGACACGGCGGACTCGTTTCCGAGTGGTCCCCCGAGCCCCCAGTCCCAATTTGAGGCGACCCCCAGA